CATCTCCTGAAGAATCCTCAATCTCCAGAGGCCTCAATGTCTACCCAGGGAGAAGGATTTGGAATTGCTGTTGTCTGACACATCACTCTGTCCTGCCAACAGGACATAGATAGGCAAGACAAGGACAGCCAGGTTGGGGTGGGATGCAGCCCCACTGACTGACCAACTGCCTCCATTGTCACTGTTACTGCTCTTTGACCTCCTTCAACTGCAGGATAGCAGTTCTTAGAGAGGGTATAAAGCTCCATCTAAGCCATTTATTTACTTAAATGGGGGTGAGAGGAATAATGGTGATACAAATTCACTTGATAGATACTGACGGCCTTCTTTGATTAGTGATTCTGAATTAGGCATACATGCTTCATTTTTTTCCCCTTCACATATTTAGTTTTACTTTAATGATAAAATAAAGACTTGCAAATAATAAAACATTCAAAAGTGCCAATATATGCATTTACACATTTGTAGGTCTTTTCACTACCTCAGATCAATAGTGTTCCTTGTGTTCCTCACCCTATGTTCTTGATGTGTATCATCAAGTTGGAAGCTACCCCACGGCTGACCCATATCTGACCCTCCAGCAGGTTTTCAGAGGCAGTTAAGTACACAGGAGTAAATTATCTATCCTCTCCTATGGGGTAGTTGGTGGATTCAAACCATGTGCCTTTGGGACTGCAGCATAACGTCTTATCACTAACATTCTTGAAAGATAATTCTTGAAGTAAACATTTACGTGTGCTCTTGTGTATATTCAGTTTTACACAAATACGACAATACTACATACATTTCTTTCCTTGACTTTTTAAAAATGGTAGATTATGCATAAAATATTGAGGCTGCCATTCAGTATAGGGTAGAGAAGTGGAGGGGAGAGAGATGAATGTGAATGATACAGCATGTTGTTGTTGTTATGCCATCGAGTCGCTTGCAACTTATAACAACCCTATGTACAACAGCCCTAAACTCTGCTCTGTCCTGTGCCAGTCGCACCATCTCTAACACACCCATCCCAGTTATCCCAGTCATTGAGTCAATCCACCTCATAGAGGGCCTTCCCCTCCTGCACCGTCCCTCCACCCTCCCAAGCATGATGTCCCTCTCCAAGGACCGGTTCCTCCTTACAACATGTCCAAAGAATGTTAGATGGAGCTTCAGAATCCTTGCCTCCAAGGAGCTGCCCGGTTTAACCCTTTCAAGGACAAATCTGTTTGTTTTCCTAGCAGTCCATGGTACCCTCAATACTCTTCTCCAGCACCACAGCTCAAAGGCATCAATTCTCTTTCTATCTTCCTTAGTCATTGACCAACTCTCTGATGCATAACAAGTGATTGCAAAGACCATGGCCTGTATCAGATGCACCTTAGTTTCCAGAGAGACACCATTCATTGCTCTTCAGTACTTTGGAGGGGTCCCTAACAGCAGACTTTCCCATGGCAATGCGCCTTTTAATTTCCTGGCTACTGGTGCCAAGAGTGTTGACTGTGGAGCCAAGCAAACTAAAGCTGTGAACAATCTCAATCTCTTCACCATCCATCCTGATGCTGCCAATTGGCCCAGTGGAGCATAGTGAGAAAAAATGGTCCTACCATTCTCTGGCCTTCTTCTTACTGGCATGATGTGCAAATGCTATTTTTCATTGTGAAAGGCATTTTAAATGATGGTTCAAAATCATAACAGCTAGGCTAGAGGGAAGAACTGAGCACTGACAACATGGCTCTCTATAGACCATGAGCCACCATCAACTGCCTCTCTACCCAGCCCTTCCCCAAGGCCATCTCCCCCAGGACACTAGTGGTCACTGTTTAGAACTTGGTGAGTCATTTCCTAAAAGATGCTGACACAGGCTCTAGTCTTGAGACCACATTAATTTTACCCATCCACAAGAGAATGGGAGAATTCAAGAATAAGACATAATAATTCTGTAGTCACTCTGTCTCATAGATCACAGATTACCCTTTCCCCTTTTCTCTGCTTAGTTATAGCTTTCTCTCGCCCATGAATGTTGTTACCAAAAATCCCTCTTCAAATTTCTATTCTAAATTATGTTTGCCAGTTCAAAAAAATCAAGAGAAATACATAATAATGTTGTTGTTGTTGTTGTTACTGTTGTTGTGTGCCATCAAGTTGCTTATGACTTATAGTGACCCTGTGTACAAACAGCTATAAACCCTTCTCTATCCTTGCCAACCTTGTCTCTGACACACCTACCTTCATTACCCCAGTCACTGAGTCAATCCATGTCATCAAGGTCTTCCTCTCTTGTCCTGTTCTTTCACCTTCCCAAGCACAATGTCCCTCTTCAAGGACTGGTCTCTCTTTGCAACATGCCCAAAGTATGTCAGACGAAGGTTCAGAATCCTTGCCTCCAAGGAGCAGCCTGGTCTCACCCTCTCTAGGATGAACCTGTTTGCTCTCCTAGTAGTCCATGGTATATTCAATACTCTTCTCCAGCACCATAGCTCAAAAGCATCAATTCTCTTTTTATCTTCCCTAGTCATTGTCCAGCTTTCTGATGCATAGCAAGTAACTATGAAGACTATGGCCTGGATCAAGTGCACCTTAGTCTCCAGACTGCTCTTCAGTACTTTGGAGCAATCCCTAATGGCAGATTTTCCCAATGCAATTCTTCTTTTGACTTCCTGGCTCCTGGTGCCATGAGTGTTGATTGTGTGTGGAGCCAAGCAAACTAAAGCTGTTAATAATCTCAATCTCTTCACCACCTATCATAATGCTGCCAGTTGGTCCAGTGGTGAGAATCTTTGTTTTCTTTTTTTTTTAATCTTTGTTTTCTTGATGTTGAGCTTCAGTCCAACGGAGGCTGTGAGAATTAAGAAGATTAAATGATAGCTATTATTTTTAAACTATTACTATTAAACTATAATAATAGTTTTTTTAAAAAATAATAGCTATCATTTAGTCTTCTTAATTCTCCCAGCCATCACTGGAATTTTAAAAAGAGTTGCCACCAACTCAGTTCTGACTTATATTGGCTCCATGTGTGTCAAAACAGAACTGTGTCTCATAGAGTTTTTAAAGTCCGATTTTTCAGAAGTTAATCTCCATATCTTTCTTCTGAGGCACTTCTGGGTACAGTCAAACCTTTTGGTTTGCAGCCAAACATGTTAACTATTTGCACTCAGGGGCTCCTGCAATTATCATATGCAGCAATTATTTTACACTTCTTTCCTAGAAATTCTATTCCTTTCCTAGGGCTACTGCAACAAATTACCACAAACATGGTGACTTCAAACAACAGAAATGTATTATCTCTCAGCTTGGGAGGTCAAAAGTTAGAAATGAAGATATGGCAGGCCACATTTCCTTTGATGGCTCAAGGCAGGGAGGGAGAAGTATTATTTGAGTGGGGGTGATATAACTCTAATCTCTATCTTTTTAAAAAATGTATTATTAATTTCAATGAAAATTTACAGAAACTTTGGATTTCCATTCATTCATTGTTGCACTTTTCTCCCTTCCCAACCCTCCCGCCTAGCACACTACCCTCTTGGTAATCTCTATATATTTTTGCATGATTCTTTTCTCTGAGTGTCACATGTCTATTCTGCCTTTCAAGACATTGTCACTGGACTTAGGGCTGTTCCTAAATCTTGGGGGAATCTCATTTTGAGATCTCTAACTTGGTCATATCTACAAAGACCCTTTCCCCCAGTCAAGACACATTCATGGATTCCAAGTTAACTTATCCTTCTGGGAGTCACCATTCATCCCACTAAACATACTAAAGGTTGTCTGACTTCCACAATATCTCAGAGGATTAAGAGCAGAATAGGGCCCAAGTGGCTGCTGCACTTTCTCACCAGTTCCAATGCCAGGCTTTAGACTAGAAGTTGCCTGATAGATCAACAGTTGATGCCAACAGAGCTAGATGAAATGCAATGGCAAAGGGAAGAGTCAAAAACCACAAAAAGAATATTGGCTTTGGGACCAGATTGACCAGGAGAGCACTTCCTTCTTCTGATGTTTTAGGTGACCTTTGGTCACTTAATGACTCTACCTGAGCTTTGTTGCTTGCTTGTCTGAAAAACAGACATAGAAGTGGCTCCTGCCTCACATAATGGTGTCACAACGATTAGATAAGGTAATGTATGCAAAGCCTATAGAACAATGATGTTGTTGTGTTGTTAAGTGCCTAAAGTCATAGGTGACCCTACAAACGAACGAAAGACCTGGACACTTGTGTAACTTTCGTCCTTTCTCCAGGTTCATAGGGTTTCCCGAGGCAAGCTATTTCAGCAATGGATACCACTCCTGCTTCCAATCTGTTTTAATAGGGGAGCACCACCAAACACTGTCCACCATGGGTAACCATTCTCGCATTTGACACATCAGTGTCACAGTGTTCGGCTTGACAGCAATCACAAGTTACCTCTCTGTACAGCAAGTGGACAGACCAGGGCTATATGACCTAGAAGAATGTTTCACTAAAACAATTAGAGACAGACCTGAGGGCTGTGGATTAGAGTTACCCACCTTTGGCTTGGGAGCATCATTTTCTGCCCTGTAGGCCACCTGACCTCTCTCTATGCTGCTGTTGTTGTTGTTAAGTACTGTTAAGTCGTGGGTGACTCATAGCGACCCTATGAACAAAAGACCTGGACACTTGTATAACTTCCGTCCTTTCTCCAGGTTCATAGTACAATGAAACAAAGAAAAATTAGACCTCCCCTCTTCGAGATGGCAGTGCAGGCGTTTGAGTCAGTTTCCCCCATCCTCACATACAGGTCACATAGAATAATTGTACAAAAAAAGACAAAAGGAAAAGGACAAAGGAAAAAACAAATTGGTTCTGACAGAGAAGCTCAAGGACATCTCTAGGGATAAGGCAGCATTTAAACTGGGACATGATGAGGTGTAGTCAAAGCTCCATGTGAATAAGAAAGTGGATACACAATACATGGGGCCACATTTTCCACTGAGATCTAGTACTTCCCCAGAGTTTCTGCATGGCTTAATCATCTCTCTCCTTCTCGCTCCTACAGGGGACCCCAGTGTCTGCTCTATCTCCAACCCTGATTTTGTCATCTACTCTTCGGTGGTGTCCTTCTACTTGCCTTTTGGAGTGACCGTCCTTGTCTATGCTAGGATTTATGTGGTGTTAAGACAAAGAAGACGAAAACGGATTCTCACCCGACAGAACAGCCAATGCATTAGTGTCAGACCTGGCTTCTCCCAACAAGTAAGCACCTGGAATGGGGTAGAGGGAGCGCCATACCCGCCTCAGGACATCTAGTATCACAGCACAAGCCTTTCCTGCACATTGCACAATGGAGACACAGGTCTGAGGTCCAGCCTCTCAACTGCTAGTATTGACTATACTTTGGAGGTAAAAAACACAATCTCAAGAGTGCTCTGCCTGTCTTCTCTAGAGCTCACCTTATTTTGAAAGATGATAGCTAGTTTCTGGCTTGTTTCCCTTCCTTTCAAAGTCCTTCTTTCTATATAAATAACAGTTTCTATCTCCCAGGGGCTCGAGATTTCCATGCGGTAGTTGTACTGTGCATTTCTGGTGAGAGCTAAGGATTGACTTTTTATCCAGGCTACTCATTTCCAGAGTAACAGGTGCCCATCGAAACATCTTTTCCTTATTAAGCTGCCTCTGTGTCAAGACACTGACCAGCTGATTGCCTAGACTCCTAATAATGCATTTTCTAGGGTCTTCTCAGAAAAGGGAACTCTGTCAGCCTTGTAGTAAGAATCTGCACTGCAATCCCAAAGGCATGCAGTTCAAATCCCCCAGCTGCTCTACCAGAGAAGGATAGGCAATCTCCTCCCGTGTGCTTAAAAGCCTCTGAAAATTCATTGGAGGATCAGCTATGGGGCAGTTCCAACTCGATGGTACATAACAACATACTCAGAAAAAGAAATTCATTGCTTCAAAATTGATCTTCCAGTTGCTTGAGTCGCAAATTCTGCCTAGCCTCATGCCTGGCACACAGTAGTTTACATACAATGCACCTGAAGCATGAATGACATTGCAATCATTTACAATCTGTTCATGGATAGTAGGAATACATATCCCCACTATCCAGTCTCTGCTTTCACAAAGCTTAAAAAACAGGCAAGTAAACAAAGCACATCTCTACTCAAAACTGAATGAAATTGTTGCCAAATGTGAGCTGAAGATGATTAAGCATCTGAATATTAAGTGGTGTGCAAGTTATTAGAAGACAGAGGTCATTATGATCAAGAAAAGTCTTCAGAGGCAACTGAATTTTATCCTGAAGGCAAGTCCAGTTGAGTATATAGGCCAAACTTTGATAACCTGAGTGAGGGTCAGACTTCCAAAACGGAAAGTCTCCAAATCTTGAATAGAATAAGACTTTTTGTTCTCATAAAATACGAGGTCAGAACACCCACAGTTAGGTATGTGAATTTTCTGCAATCAGAGAATTGCTACCTACATAGCTTAATGACACAGAGCTTAATCCATGCTGACTCGTGTTTTTTTTTCCCTTCAATCCACTCTAGTCTACCTGTCTTCGGTTGCACCCTATTCGACAATTTTCAATAAGGGCTAGATTTCCATCAGATGCCATGGGGAAAATGGTAAGTAAGCTATGTCTTTGGCTGTAGGAAGAGATGAGATCTTTTCCTAGTGGCGCACTTGTCTTTATTCAGCTCCCACCCTAAAATGGAACTAAGTCCAATCTCACATTTGTGCTAGAAGATATGCCAGAATGGAGATGCTGCCCGGTTTATGTTTCAGAATAAGAAACACTAAATATATTCAGGAAGCATACGACTGTATGGTTAGAGACCAATGACAAGAGCTCAGTGACTATTCGATGTAATGTGACAATACCACGTAGGGCCACCTGCATTAGAGGGTTGTTGTTGCTCTTAGGTGCTGTAGTTTGCTTCCAACTCACAGCGAGCTCACGTACAACAGAATGAAACAGTGCCAACTTCTAAACATCCTCTAACATTCAGGTTAAGGTCTTTTCAATCACTTGCTATGCATCTGGAAGCTGGCCCATGAATAAGGGTGACAGAGGAAGAATTAACATCTTTAAACTGGTGATGTTGGAGAAGAGTGCTGAATACATCCCATGGACTGCCAAAAGAATAAGTCTCTATGTCTTGCAGAAGATGCAGCCAGAATGCTCCTGGAAGGCAAAGAGGATGAAGCTTCATTCACATGAACTGTGGTCATGTTGCTAGGAGAGGTTATTCCTTGGAGAAGGATGACATATTTGAAAAGGCGCAGGGTCAGCGAAGGAAAGGAAAATCCTCAACAAGGCAGATTGACATATGACTGTGGCAGTGATCTTGAGTGTGAGAGAGATTGTGAGGATGGCACAGGATAGGATAGACTTCAGACCTGTTGTTCAGGGGTCGCTATGAGTCATACTTGACTCGACGACACCTAACAACAACAACAAACCATCCTCACAAGCACAGTTGTGTTTAAGCCATTTGTTGCAGCCACTGTGTCAATTCCTCTCACTGAAGATCTTCTTTCTTTATTGACCTTCTATTTTACCAAGCATGGTATCTTTCTCCAGGAACTGGATCCTTCTGATAACGTGCCCAAAGTATGTTAGGCCAAGTCTTGGCATAGCCTTACTTCAGAGGATCATTCTGGTTGTTACTTTTTCCAGGAAAGATTTGTTTTTTCTTTTGGCAAAGTCCATGATATAGTCAATATTCTTCACCAACACCACAATTCAAAGACATCCCATTTTCTTCAATCTTCCTTATTCATTATCTAACTTTCACACATACATGAGGTGACTGAAAATACCAAGGGGCAGGAGTGGCATCCACTTCCTAAACAACACGCCTCCAGAAACTCTATGAACTTTGATAAATGTTGATAATTATAGAAAGGCTTCAGGCCTTTTGTTCATAGGGTTGCTATGTGTCATGCTCGACGCGAAGGCAATCAACAACAACAATAATAGGAGGGGAACCTTAGTTCTCAAAGTTATATCCTTGCTCCTTAGCACTTTAAAGAGATCCTTTGCAGAATTTTTGAAATAAAAAAAAAATATTTATTATTGCTTCCATGGTTGTTAATTGTGGATCCAAGTAAAATGGAATCTTTTACTTTAATCTTTTGTCCATTTATCATGATGTTGCTTATTGGCCCATCGTGAAGGTTTCTGTGTGCTTATATTAAGGTTAATCCATCCTATAGGGTATGGTCTTCAAGTTTCATCATTAAGTGCTTTAGATCCTTTTCCCTTTCAACAAGCAAGGTTGTGTCATCAGTACTACATTTTGTTAACGAGTCTTCCTTCAATCTTCATGGTGCGTTCTTTTAGATAGAATCCTGATTCTTGCATTATTTGCTCAGCATAGTTGGTTCATGTGCAAGAGCTCTAATCACTTGCCAGTTAAGAAAAGAAGTCAATATTTGGCCATTATGGTAACAAAGTTGGAGTGTCCTGCCTCTTACGGAAGTCTTACACAGTGTCTGATTCTTCAAACATGTAAAACAGTTTAGTTGTTAGTTACACCCTCAAAAAGGAAAAAGAAAACATCAACCAAACCCAAAAAAATCCACAGATCTTCAGTATTCTACTCTCAAGACATAATTCATCCCAAACCCAGTTCCTTAAATCCAAAGGATACTGGGGCAGGGCGGGGGAAACAAGGAGCAAAATATCCATTGGGATGTACATTGCCAGTTAACTCTATCACCAGCTTTGCAATTCCATACAGAGTTATAGTGTTATCATAGAGGAGATAACTCAAAAGAAATGCCAGTGAGATAGAAAAAAAGGAGAAAGAGCAGGACAAAGAGTCTACATTTCTAATTCACTGTCAGACCCTGTGCTAGGTCCATGGTGCATTGATCTGTTTGGGGAACAAATTTAAGGGGAATCAGGGGGTGACGGGCTCACTCTGATTACTCTGAAGGAAGAGCATGTCATTACGAAGTAATAATACACTTAGCTGCTCACTAAAATATTAGTGGTCTGAACCACCAGAAAGTTCTTCAGAAGAAAAACCTGGCAATCTTCTCCCTTAAAAATGATAGCCTAGGGCATCCTGTGAGGCAGGTCTGCTCTATCACAATGAGTCATTATGAGTGGGAACTGACTTTAACAATAACATCAGTATCATTAAGGATTCAGTGCTCACATATCCCTAATCATCTTATAAATGTTTTTTACAATTGACTTCTTTGAATCAAAATTAAAGAAGGCTCTTTCTTTGCAACTAGTAACTCTCACTATCACTGTTGCAATTTATTTGTTAAAGAAACAGAATCTTTGTCTTCCAAGGATTCCTAAGTTCCAGAATCTGCTGCTTGGGTCCCAGTGGTGTCATAGAATGTGTTCCTGTACAGACCCAGCCCATTCTAACTTGGAGGAAAAGTCCAGCCCACAAGCCTATGTTACAGTCCTCAAGGAGTTGTTATCAAGTATGTTCTATTTGGAGATGCTAAAGTCAAAAGCAGATTCCATTTACCAAACTTTCTATGGTTCAATCACTCTTTTAGATAGGTATTCCTTCGTAAAGGTCTTGATAACTTCCGGTTCTTAATTTACATTATCTTTCCATTCCAGGAACGTTCAGACGATAAAAACTATCCCCAAAAATGTCAGGACCCTCTCTTGACACACCTGCAGCCCCTTTCTCCTGGCCGGGCACACATGGAGCTAAAGCGCTATTACAGCATCTGCCAGGATCCTGCTTTGGGGAGACCAAGTTTCCAAGAAGGGGAAGCAGAGTTGAAAAGAGAGGAGAGGACTCGGAACTCCCTCAGTCCAACCATGGCACCCAAGCTTAGCTTAGAGGTTCGGAAACTCAGCAATGGCAGGTTGTCAACATCCCTAAAGCTGGGGCCCCTGCAACCTCGGGCTGTGCCACTCCGAGAAAAGAAAGCAACTCAGATGCTGGCCATTGTGCTCGGTGAGTTTTGGTCAGGTTCTCTTGGGTTGGGTTGGGTTGGGTTGGGTTGGGTTGGGTTGGGCTAGTTGGTTTGGGCTGAGTTAGGTTGAGGTTATTGTTATAATATCGACATTTGATTGAAATTGGAAATCCAACAACTTTAATATTAGAGAGTTTGTGTATAAATGTTAACTCTGGTGAAAATTCAAAAGACCTAAATTAAAATTTCTGAGCCTAAAAAGAAAATCACATAATTGAGCTCTGTTTTCCTGTCTATCACATGGCATTATAATGGATGCATCAAGTAATAAATATGATTCAATAAAATTGTCTGTCACATATTGAATATTTAATAAATAATGCTTTTTCAAAATATTAAATGGAAAAATAGGGATGCAAAACACTACTGTCATATGGTATGATAACAACGAGATTATTTTAAATGCAGAGAAAAAGAGACTGAAAAGAAATTCACCAGATGTCAAATATGATTGTCTTTGAGTTGTGGGTGACTATTTTTCTTCTTTCTACTCTTCCATATTTGCCAAGTTTTCCATAATGTATAAAATCAGGACTAATTTTTATAGTAGAAGAAAATAAACTTTATTTAAAGAAAGAAATAAAAAAATCGATTAAGTCTCAGACACCATATGGAGTTAGTAAAGTCAACTCATGCTGTTCAGTGACTGACAAGCCCCATTTCTCATCTACTAGAAACTTTACTAGGGAGCTCTGGTGGCCTAGCCCATGGGAGCTGCATGGCTAACCTGAAGGCCACACCTCAGTGGTGGTTCAAATTCACCTGTGACTAGGGGTTGGGGATGCTGGGCCAATCAAAGGGCAGTCTCTTCACATGTGATTTACAGCCGTGGAAACCCACTAGAGGATCAGCTAGGAGTTGGTTCTGTCTCAATGGCAATGAGTTTTAGTTTTTTTGAGAGGGACTTTATTAGATCATCAGCTGCTCTGTAGGAGGATGGGCCGTCTCCTCTCATACGATTTACTGACTCTGAAAACCTACTGGAGGGTCAGCTGTGAGTCATTTCTAACTCTACAGCACACACCAACAATAGCTGTAGTCCCAACTGCAGGAGGTGCGTATAGGAACTTTAAACGTCTTCCCTCTCATTACCTAGGATCATGTTTTGCATAAGCGGACATTAAATGAATACTCTCATTGACTTGGGAGGTAGTCAAAGCTAATAAATCTCTACAGATTAAATGAGAAAACTGGTTCAAAGTTGAAGGGCTTAGATGATTCAAAGATACTAGAATGCAGTACACACACACACACACACACACACACACTCATATGGATAATCACACCGAAATAATAAAGTTGTTACAAAAGCTAAATGGGTATAAAGCAATCTATGAACCATGTTGTAACAGAAGGAGGACGCAAATGTCTCATGTTATTTCTCTCTTTATTTTCAACCTAGGGACCTTCATTGTCTGTTGGATGCCCTTCTTCCTGACTCACGTTCTCAATACCCACTGTGAAGCATGCCATGTATCCCCCGAGCTTTATAGCGCCACAACGTGGCTGGGCTACGTGAACAGCGCCCTCAACCCTGTCATCTACACCACTTTCAACGTCGAGTTCCGAAAAGCCTTCCTCAAGATCCTGTCTTGCTAAAAGAGAAAAGAAAGGATTGTTCTCTGTTCCCAGTTCTGGTTGCCAAGCCGTTGGGCCATCAGCCAGGCCCTGCTCAGACAGACTATGGGATGTCCTCTGATACATGGCCGGAAGAAGATTCCTGGAGCCAGGACACCCGTTCATGGCAGATGTAACCAACTGCTCCCTCAAAAACAGAATGTTCTACCTCCCCAGTTAAAATCTGACTTCATCCTGGCAGTCCTCAAGTGCTAAGGGCCTGTGAGTGATAAGCAATAATTCAGAAAGAAGCTGATAAAACATGACTCTAAACACACACAAAATTGTCATCAGAGGCATGATTCATTACAGAGAAGGGGGGAAAAAGGAACAGATCTCATAATTCTCAACTTGCCAGGGAGCCTTGAAATCTCAGCCAGTAAACCATCTTGCAGAACAGCCAATCTCTCTTCCTTCAAACCTCTAATTAACTGTCACACTAACCTTGAGCTTGTGTGGCCCGTTTCTTCCCTGTCACTTCTTTCTCCTTCACTGTATCCTGAAATATGAATGGCAAGACAGCGTGAATATCTCTTGGTAGAGTCCAATGGACTATATTTGATGAGAGGAATTTCTCCACTCGAAGACAATGTCCCACATTGGGACCTAGGCTTTGTTTCCAATCTTACTACCCCTCAGCTTTTGCTAAAAAAGCCCTTTGCTTCCATTCACTTACTCTCATGAGGTAGTCTCCAACTAAGGTGTCTCAATGTCTAGGACAATTCAAGGTGAAAGCGATAAACGATAAAGGAATGAGGATTCCTGCTGTAGTAACACTGTTGAACTTTGTGGTTCAGAATATGCTTTAGATAAGGCTTTTCATAGTATTTTTTCTATCCACAACATCTCCTGCTTAACAAAGACTCAATACTGTCAGATCCATGAGACTAAGAAGTTCCAGTCACCTTCAGGTTCTGGATATACAACAAAAAATATAGCCCAACCTCTGCTTCAAGGAGCTCACTGCCTGCACCATTTTGCTGGTTTACTTGTGTAAGGGTGGCCAGGCAAGCTTCGCTCATGCTGCCGGAGGACCTCAGAACTGAATGCACCAGTGAGGTGGCTGTTCAAACGCATTACATGGACAGTCTTTCTCAAGACCTAGCATAGATTTTAAGCTTCCCCTAATTTATATAAAAGGTATATTAGGAACAATCTGTAAACGTCAAATTACACTTCGAAGGAGTTTGGACGTTCCTTATATGTACCGTTCTCACGTACAAAGTTCTTTCTTATTGATTGCAGAACTGAGATAGAATTTATGAACACTTTATGAAATGTTGTCACTCTGAACTTCAATAAAGTACGTTTAAGAGCTTTTGGAGTGTAGGAAGATACATGCTGCAGCGCTGTCAAAATTTTTTAAGTGCACAACAGCTTTACAAAGAACCCAAGGCTGCCCCTGCCCCTATCTTTCTTCCTCTAACCCTTAAGCACATTAAGAATGTGTGTGTGTGTGTGTGTGTGTGTGTGTATTGTTGTTGTTATGTGCCGTTGAGTCGTTTGAGACTCATAGTGACCCTATGTACAACAGCCCTAAACCCTGCTCTATCCTGTGCCAATCTCATTGCCTCTGACACACCCATCCCGATTACGCAGCCACTGAATCAATCCACCTCATAGACGGTCTTCCCCTCCTGCGCTGTCCCTCCACTCTGCCCAGCATGATGTCCCTCTCTAAAGACCTGTGTCTCCTTACAACATGTCCAAGGTATGTCAGGCGGAGCCCCAGAATCTTTGCCTCCAAGGAGCAGCCTGGTTTAACCCTCTCTAGGGTGAATCTATTTGTTTTCTTGGCCGTCCATGGTACATTCAATACTCTTCTCCAGCACCACAGCTCAAAGGCATCAACTCTCCTTCTGTCCTCCCTAGTCATTGTCCAACTCTCTGATGCATAACAAGTGATTGCAAAAACCATGGCCTGTATCAGGTGCACCTTAGTCTCCAGGGAGACACCGTGGCTCTTGAGTACTTTAGAGAGGCCCCTAACCACAGACTTTCCCATCGTAATACGTTTTTTGATTTCCTGGCTACTGGTGCCAAGAGTGTTGACCGTGGAGCCAAGCAAACTGAAGCTGTGAACAATCTCAATCATATATATATAAAATTTCCATTGCATTCCTGTCACCCATTATTATCAATTCATCTTGATTGCATGTTCAATCGATCTGTGAGTGTAAAAATTAGTAGAAATCATCTATTTCTTCTTCTTTGGATCTTGTTGTTGGTGCATATATTTGAATGATAGTGGTATTCACTGGACTTCCTTGTATGCATATGGATATTATCCTGTCACTCACAATATTGTACTTTAAGATGGATCTAGAAATGACTTTTTTAACTATGAAAGCAACCCCATTTTTTCTCACCTTTTCATCTCCAGAGTAACATATCATATGATCATCTGACTCAAAATGCCCCGTGCCAGTCCATCTCATCTCACCCATGCCTAGTATGTCAATATTTCTGCATTATGTTTCTTTCTTAACATTATGAAATTTTCCTGTTTTCACGGTTCTCACTTTCCATGTTCCAATCACTAGCGTCTGCTTACAACTGTTCCTCTTCCTCTGTATTTCCATAATTGAAAGCTCTACTTCAGCTGCCTTTTGTGTGAGTCTGCGTGTGTTCTGTTGTACGTAGGGTTTTCAGAGGCCTGCTATTTCAGAAGTGGATGGCCAATCCTTCTTCCTAGCCTGTCTTAATCTGAATGTTCTGATTTAGAGAAGTATCTGACAGACAGCATTTTACAGAAAAGTGAAAGATATATCCCTTATTATTGAGTTAACCATTAGTTACAGTGTTGTCCCTGCCCTTGGCCCAGTGTCTTGACTCACTTATTTCCCAGCTCCACCCTCCACCAGGATACCCCTCCCCTTCTACACACTCCCTTCAGCATTTATCTTCCGTTGTCTGACCCTTGATCCAATAGCTTGTCTCTGAAGCTTTCGTGGCTTCTGTGATTCCAAACACGTCAGCTGCCGACAATTACTTATGCTGTGACTAGTGTCTCTTAAGTTTAGTGGTAATGTTTCTGATGTGTCCTGTAGAACTGGTATATAGATTGTATTTTTTTGTTGTTGTTGTTCCTTCTTGGCCTGAGGGCCACAGGCCCAAGGTCCTCAACGATTTCCCAGCCACCTTGGGTCCTTCTTGTTTACCTGTGGGTGGGTGGTGTTTTCTGAGTAGCCTTTGTGTTGGCCCAATTCTCTGCCTGTAATGGGTGACTAGAATGCAAAAGTTGGGAACAGAGTAGAGGAATCAGTAACATGGACTCAGTGACAGAAATGAAGCTGGAGATAGAATGATTGAATTTTGCACAATCAATGACTTACTCATTGCAAATACATTTTATAAGAAACATAAATGCAGGTTATGCACATGGATTTCACTGGATGGTATGCATAGGAATCAGATTGATTATATCTGTGGAAAGAACTGCTGGAGAAGTGCAATATCAGCTGTGAAAACTAGGCCAGGCATTGATTGTGGAACAGACCACCAACTACTCATATGCAAGTTCAAGCTGAAGCTGAAGAAAATTAAATCGAATCCACAGGAACCAAAATATGACTTTGAGTCTATCACACCTGAATTTCAGAACCATCCCAGGAACACGTTTGAGGCCTTGGACACTAATGAGCAAAGACCAAATGGGTTGTGGGAGGATGTCAAAAGTATCATCCAGGAAGAGTGCAAATGGTCATTACAAACACAGAAGTGGGGAAAAAAAAGACCAAAATGGATGTTAGAAGAAACTCTGAATATTGCACTGGAGTACAGAGAAGCCAAATCAGAAGGAAGACTTCAAGATACTAAAGAGATGAATAGAATATTCCAAAAGGCAGCACAGGATGACAAAGCAAAATATTACAATGAAATGTGCAAGGAGCTGGAGTCAGAAAATCAAAAGGGCCAAACTCGTTCAGCATTTCTTAAGCTCAAGGAACTGAAGAACAAATTCAAACCTCAAGTTGCTATAATCAAGGATGCTTTAGGCAGAATATTAAATGATCCAGGAAGTAGTAAAAGAAGATGGAAAGAATATACTAAGTAACTGTATTGGAAGGAATTGGCAGACACAGAAGAATTTCATGAAATAACATATGAGCAAGAGCCTATGGTGATGAAGGAGGAAGTTCAAGCTGCTTAGAAGGAAATAGTAAAAAATAAGGCCCCAGGAATAGATGGCATGCCAATTGACTTATTTCAGCTAACAGATGCTGCCCTAGATGTGCTCACCAACTTGTGCAAAGAAATCTGGAGAACAACCACTTGGCCAACTGACTAGAAGAGATCTATATTTATCCCCATTCCAAAGAAGGGGAACCCAACAGAGTGTGGAAACTATAGAACAATATCATTGATTTCACATGTAAGTAAGATATTACTGAAGATAGTCCAAAAATGACTGAAACAGCATATGAGCAGAGAACTGCCAAATCCAGGCTGGGTTTATAAGGGGTCGTGGTACTAGGGATATTGTAGCTGATATTAGATGGATCTTAGCTGAAAGCAGGGGATACCAAAAGAATGTTTATCAGTTTTTCATTGATTATGCAAAGGTGTTTGACTGTGTGGACCATAACAAACTGTGGCTGACTCTGAGAAGAATGGGAATCCCAGAACACTTGATCGTGCTAATGCAAAACCTATACTTGGACCAAGGGGCAGGCGTTAGAACAGATCGAGGAAACACTGCATGGTTCAAAATTGGGAAAGGGCATACGCCAGGGATGTTTCCTATCTCCATACCTTTTCAACTTGCATTCAGAACAGATTATTTGGGAGGCTGGGCTCTATGAGGAGAAATGTGGTGTCAGGATTGGTGGAAGATCTATCAACAATCTGCATTATGCAGATGACACAACCCTGCTTGCTGAAATTGAGAAGGACCTGAAGCGCTTGCTACTGAAGGTCAGGGCCTGCAGCCTTCAATATGGATTGAGGCTCAATGTCAAGAAGACAAAGATTCTCACCAC